TTATTTGATGATGCTAATATTCTAAGATTCATATTCACTCAATTCAGTTCAGTTCAGTTCCGTTGCTCAGTTGTGTCTGACTCTTTGCCACGCCATGGACTGCAGCACACCAGGCCTTCCTGTCCGTCACCAACTCTCAGAGTTCATCCAAACCCATGTCCATTGAGTCAGTGATGCCATCCAACCATCTCATCCTCTGTCGTCCCCTTCTCCTCCCGTCTTCAATCTTTCCCAGCATCAGGGTCTTCTCCAATGAGTGGCCAAAGTGTTGGAGCTTCAGCTTCAGCATCAGTTCTTCCAATTGATTTCCTTTAGGATTGACTGGTTTCATTTCCTTGCAGTCCAAGGGACTCTCAGGAGTTTTTTCCAACACCACAATTCGAAAGCATCAATTCTTTGGCGCTCAGCCTTCTGTATGGTCCAGTTCTCACATCTGTACATGACTACTGGAAAACTGTAGCTTTGGCTATGTGGCCCTGGTCTATAGAAGTCTTGGATGGTCATATACATTGGAATCCTATTCAGAGGTGGAAAAGGGAACTAGGCGATATGTTGAAATGACCTCTTCCAAATCTGGTTCTATGATTCAGCAACCATTTAGATGACCTAGTGGTAGGAGAGGAAAATTCTAACATTACATTTGTTCCAGTCATTTTCACCTAATCAGGTACTGTTTTAAAAGCAACAAAAATGAAATGAACATATATCAAACGTTCCCAGTGGACCCTGAGTCGATGTCCTATTCTCTACCAAGCAAAACAACTTTTTCCACTGGTCAGGCTACCCCAAGTCTTTCACTGGCTGCTTGGTAGAAGCACCTGTCAATACTTGGAGACACCAGGTCCTCCTGAAGGATTTTCAACTCTTTGTCAGGCTTAAAGTCTCTGGGGATGACTTGCCCATAAATAAACAGGTCATTGAGAGTATGTATGCCTTCCACATGCCTTCAAATTTCGGTTCACATTAAAACACACTTTGGTAGGATGAAGAATGTAAGAGACCCAGAAGGTGGGTAGATGCCAAGGAGTTGGGAAAATGTAGAGACAGCTTCAGCTGCAATTTCAAGTAGAATCAACTCTACTCCGGAGATCGAAATAACTTTATGTAATTAGGTCCACATAAAGAATGGTACTTTGACTTAGAGATGAGTGGAGGCCTGGTTCAATTTCTATCATCTCTAACGAGGCACATTTACTTGGACAAGCCACTAGCCTTTCCAAGCTCCAACTTCCTCCTTGACAAATATTTAAGTGCCTAATACATGTCAGGCATTGTTTTAAATGAAATCATGATGATAATATTAACCATTTTCTAGGATTGTTATCAGAAATAAATGGAGTGATGTTTAAAAGTGCTTGCTTTGTGCCTGGTATAGAGTAAGAAAAACTTTATGGATCCAGTAATCATAATAATGATTCCTTACATCTGTGAATTCTTGCACATTTCACAAAGCACTTTCATTACCCATTTTCCCCTTAAGCCACCCTGTAGGTGGAACTACATTTAGTGTTGGACATTTATTGTCCCATTTTACAGATGAAGAGACTGAATGAAACTTGGCACAGTTCATTTGCTTGGCTGTGCTTCCTACTGAAGAAGATTGGTGTTGATTGGCCAAGTATTATGTATTAACACTTATTACTTATTCCTATTCTATAGGTGGAGAAACTCAGTAAGGCTCAGAGAGATTTTGATTTTCTTTTTTGACACTTGAGGTAAAAAAAATGTTTTTAAAAAAAGTACGAGTTGGCCAAATGCTTGAACATCTTGGTAAAAGGTTAGTAAAAAGAATCACTTGACATGAAGACAAAGTTGGTGCACAATTTAATCTCTAATAGAGAAAAGTTATTGTAAGTGTCTTGTTGATCTTCACTTAAGTACTGGAAAACTTAGGAAGGAAGAGATTTAGACTGGAAGTGAGAAAAGATTTGACTTCCTCAAAGTTCAAAGATTTGGGCGGAGCCTATCAATACATAATTCGGAATGTCTATCGCTAGCTATGTTTAGAAATCTTGTTGTTGATTAGTCACTCAGTCGTGTCTGATTCTTTGCAGCTCTACAGACTGCAGCATGCCAGGCTCCCATCCTTTATGCTCTCCTCGAGCTTGCTCAAGTTCATGTTCACTGAGCCGATGCTGCTGTCGAACCATCTCATCTTCTGCCCCTGCCTTCTCCTTTTGCTTTCAATCTCTCCCAGCATCAGGGTCTTCTCCAATGAGTGGCCAAAGTGTTGGAGCTTCAGCTTCAGCATCAGTTCTTCCAATTGATTTCCTTTAGGATTGACTGGTTTCATTTCCTTGCAGTCCAAGGGACTCTCAGGAGCTTTTTCCAACACCACAATTCGAAAGCATCAATTCTTTGGCGCTCAGCCTTCTGTATGGTCCAGTTCTCACATCTGTACATGACTACTGGAAAACTGTAGCTTTGGCTATGTGGCCCTGGTCTATAGAAGTCTTGGATGGTCATATACATTGGAATCCTATTCAGAGGTGGAAAAGGGAACTAGGCGATATGTTGAAATGACCTCTTCCAAATCTGGTTCTATGATTCAGCAACCATTTAGATGACCTAGTGGTAGGAGAGGAAAATTCTAACATTACATTTGTTCCAGTCATTTTCACCTAATCAGGTACTGTTTTAAAAGCAACAAAAATGAAATGAACATATATCAAACGTTCCCAGTGGACCCTGAGTCGATGTCCTATTCTCTACCAAGCAAAACAACTTTTTCCACTGGTCAGGCTACCCCAAGTCTTTCACTGGCTGCTTGGTAGAAGCACCTGTCAATACTTGGAGACACCAGGTCCTCCTGAAGGATTTTCAACTCTTTGTCAGGCTTAAAGTCTCTGGGGATGACTTGCCCATAAATAAACAGGTCATTGAGAGTATGTATGCCTTCCACATGCCTTCAAATTTCGGTTCACATTAAAACATTCCTAGAATGACATGAAAATTATTCATTATGGTGTGTAACCTTGCGGAGTTCTTGTTTTTAAATTCAGAAAAGTACCATATATGCTTGTCAACTGGTGTGGATGCATGAAAACTCTCGTTTATCCTTGAAACATGGTGAATTTGAGGAGAAGAAAGAAAAATAACTTCTTTGACTAAGGCTAGGGCTAGGTCTAGGAGCGACACTTGAGTGACTGAGGATGCAGCTGCCTCCTGTTCCACTGATATTGGTGGAGACACGGAATTCAACCAGCAGGTGTTGAGCTACTTTATTTTATTATTTTTTTTGAGCTATTTTAATGACCTGCTATGGTCAGGAAATTTTTTGTTCTCCCCTTGACTCGACTTATCTTTAGCTGCATCATGACATTAAACATTGCCAGAAAGCAAATGAATTTGTTCTCTTAAAAAAAAAAATCAATGCCATAAAATAAGATGGAGGGAATTCTCTAAAGTATAATAAACAGCAATAATAACCAAATGAAATCTTTGATTGGATTCTGGTTTTTATTGAACAACTATAACTTTTTTTTTCATTTATTTTTATTAGTTGGAGGCTAATTACTTCACAGCATTTCAGTGGGTTTTGTCATACATTGACATGAATCAGCCATGAAGTTACATGCATTCCCCATCCCAACCCCCCTCCCACCTCCCTCTCCACCCGATTCCTCTGGGTCTTCCCAGTGCACCAGGCCCGAGCACTTGTCTCATGCATCCCACCTGGGCTGGTGATCTGTTTCACTATAGATAATATACATGCTATTCTTTCAAAACATCCCACCCTCGCCTTCTCCCACAGAGTCCAAAAGTCTGTATTGAACAGCTATAACTTTTCTGTGTGTCTGAAAAATTTCAAAATGAGAATTTGAGGGGAAAACAACAACAACGAAAAATCCAGCTCCATCTCTTTAAAAAAATTACCTGGGATTATGTTTTGGTGGTAACTCAGACAGGGGGAATCTCCTTAAAACTTGTTTTATAATAAGCAGGATTATGACTCTGTACTTTTTTTTGGGTAAAATGTTTGGTACATGATCTTAAATAATATTCTCTAAAAATTTAAAAGAGTCCTGGGTGTGTAATATACAGCATGGTGACTATAGTTAATAACACTATATTATACATTTAAAGGTTGTTAAGAGAGATGATTTTTAAAATTCTCATTGTAAGAAAAACAGTTTTGTAACTGTGCCTGGTGATGGGTGTTAACTAGACTTATTATGTGATCATTTCACAATGCATGCCTATATAGAATCATTATGTTGTAAACCTGAGTGATATAATGTTACATGTCGATTATATCTCAGTAAAAAAGGTTTTAAAGTAGAGAAACTGAAAAGGGAAGCAGATGTAATTCCTGGTTATGAAACCTGTTCCTCAGCCTGGGTGCTTTAATTACAGCTTCCCCGGGGGGTTCACAGTATGTTGTCTTCATTAGCCCCCAATCAGAGGTTGAGTCACCTAAATAGTCTGCAGGATTTACCCCGGAGTTCACTGTTGAGCAGGATGATACAGGACGCCCTCTTGCCCTTTAGTTGCTGGTGTGTCTCCAGCTTTTCCAAGCCAAAAGCACAGCCTCAGATTAGAGCAACATATATTTAAGGGTGTGGTTTTGCAGGTGCTGGTTGGGACATGAAGACAAATGGAGGAATGATTACATGCTGAGAGCAACGTGGAAACTTTGCTGGTGAAAGAAAACAGACCTGGTGGAGCAGTTTAGGTTTAACTTCAGTGCATTATCCTATCAGTTTGACCACTGAGTGGGTCTCCACCTCCACTGGGGTTGTGTGTGTGTGTGTGTGTGTGTGTGTGTGTGTGAAGGGGCCGGGGTGGAGGTGGGGGGAACTATTTTCACAAAATGACTTGGAAATCTCTCTGCAGTTCTTTTGAGAAGAGGACTTGGACATGTCTGGGAGTGGGGAAAGTCAAGGAAGATGGGGATCTCTTCAGGACCTCAGGGAAGGAAGGGGGAAGCCAAAGGGAGATAATCCAAGGCAGAATAAGGAATGCGCTTTATTATCCGTGAATTCGAAGTAGATTCTAACCACATCGGTCCTCCTCCCCTTCCTCTGGCCGAACCCGCAGCGAGCGGCGTCCCGCAAGCTGCGATTCGCTGTCCGGGACTGTCCCTGCGCCTCCCGGCATCCCGGGTCCAGCTCCTCGCCGGCGGAGCTGTCCTCTGCCAGGCGCTGGAGAGGCGGACTCCCCGCGGCAGGCAGCGCCCCTCCGCCCTCAACCCGCCCGGGGCTGCGGCGGGGAGGGGGAACGGAGCCACCAACTCGCGGGAAACTTTCTCGCGGGAAATGACTGGGCTTTTCCAGCTTCCCCTCCACGCCGGGCCACGCGGCATCCAATAACCCGCTGCCGCAACTCTCGCAGGCTCTGGGCTGCAGCGACCCGGCGGCCCGCGGGAACGCGTCCCCGGGCAGGGACCCGCGCCCTTGACCCCCGAACGCGACCAGGGCGCGGGGGCCGCTGGCGGGGCTCGGCGGGTGCGGGGAGCCCCGGCGCCACGATGCTTAGTCTTCCCAGCGCAGGGACCGCAGGCGGCCCCTTTCCGCCAGCCTTAACCCGCCCGCGGCAGTAGCTATGGAAGTCGCCGCGGCACCGAAGCCGAGGGAACCGCTTGGCACGGCGCCTCTTTCGGATGCTTTTTCTCTGCGCCGACCACTTCTTTCCTCCTTCTTGGGGTGAGTGTCATCGAGTCTGTAGTGACGAAGGGGGAGAACTGGAGGCGAAGGAAGGGAACTGCAGGAGCACAAACGGTTAATGCGCCAAGTTGCTTTTCTTGGGAGGGGGGCTCCCTTCCCGGCGCCTCACCCCCCGCTCCTCTCCCCAGCCCCCGCCCCGCAGTCCTTTCCGAGTGCGCACTTCAGGGGTCGGGCTTGATTTCAGGCACCTTACGGGAGGGGTACTGGGATTAATTCATGAGTTCATTGATTTTGGTAGATTCCTCCCCCCCCCCAAAAAAACTTGTCTTTGTATACATTCTGAGAAGGGAGAATGAAAGTGGAGGTGAGAGAAGCCCCAGAGGTTGGGAAGGGGGATTTAGCTGAGAGATGATCCTCAGAGCCAAAGACTAGCGCAAGTCTTTATCGACCTCAGGAACTCTGGATCCCTGATTCTGCAACCTCACCCCAACATGTCCACCCCAAACTGCTATTGTTCTGCTGATGCTTTTCTGGGGAAGATTCTCCAGGGGCCAAAATAACTTCAGACAAAAACCTGCCAACTGTCTTGTACACACGGGGGTGTTCAATGAACGTTTGTTGATTGACTGAAGGAGGTACCCTGAGGCTGCATTTCGTGCCCTGCAAATTTGCCCTGGACAGTGAACTAATTCCCTGATGTATAATAGATCCCAGGTCACCAAGTTAGTCCAAGTCATTTTGCAAAGGCGGAGGGGCTGGAGTCTTCGAAACTTATTGCATTCAGGTCTTCATTAACCCAAAGTACCCATGTGACAGCTTCAGGGTCAGAGTCACGGGTCCAAGGCCCAGGTCCCTCGGGTCTGAATCTCTGTGTTGTGACCTTGGGCGGGCTCCTGTACTTCCCAGGGGGTTGATCTTTTCATCTGCAAGGTGAGGCCAGTTGGAGGTGATGTAGGGAAGATGGAGAGAAGTATGAGAAGGTGAAGGGGCAGTTGAGAAATGTCAGTCTTGCCTCCCCTCCTCCCCCTGATTCAGGAGACAGACTATTTTTCTCCGTGGAGACCTCTCTCTGACTCGGATGCAGGTAATGCACTGCAGTGACTGGACTGGCGCCCTTCAGCCCAGGAGCAGTGGAGGAGGCAAGGACAGAGGAGGCTGTGAAGGCTGGCGCAGGAGCTTAGAAGCAGTTCCCTTTGGGTTCCGGAGCAGAATTTACATATATACTGGTGTCTCTGGAGGCACCGGGTTGCAGAGTGTTAGAAGTGATTGAGCAGGGGCACACGCTGGAGGCATAGTCGGGGAAGGGGCAATTTTTCGTTTGTCTTATTTCCCAATGTCAGGGATCCTCTCAGCCTCCTAGCAGAGGGAGGCAAAGTGNGCTCCTCAGTCAAGAGTGCTGCTCTAGTCTTTCTCGGGGCTTCCTCCACGAGCCAGCCCGAGGCTCCCCCATCCTCGGAAATTGTTTTGTTGGACTGCAGTACCGAGGCTGGTAAAGCTCCAGGACTTTATTATTATTTCGATTCTTTTCCTTTCCCTCCCCTCCTGGGCAACGGAGCAATGAAATTTCCAATCGAGACTCCAAGAAAACAGGTGAACTGGGATCCTAAAGGTTGGTATTTCCTACTTCTGGCCGCGCTGGCCCTGCCTCCATCCCTGGCGTGTGCGCGCGCTTCCCGGAGTGCAAGCACCCAGGCTCCCGGCGGCGTGTGTCCGGAGGCTGGAAACCGCGCCTGGGGACTGCAGCGGGCTGGGAGGCGGGCGGAGGCCGCGTGGGTGCCGGGCCCGGATCGCGCCTGCCGTTATCCCCTAACATTGTCCCTGCTGGACTGTTTCAGCATCTATCTAAAGACACACCAGGCGGGCTGTTTGGCTTGAGATTGCAGCAAGTGTCGGTGTTTGCTTCTGACTTGGTGTGTGTTAGTGTGTGCGTGTGTCTCCTTTGTTTCTCGTGATCTTTGTCTCTGGCAAAGATGGGTGGGGTGCCTTCTCCTGGACCTGGAGCTCCCCGGCCAGCCCGGGGTGTCCCCAGCGGGAAGGGTTTCCTGGCAGCAGGAGAGGCTGCGCCTCGCAGCAGCAGCCCCTGGAGGTGGCCCTTCTCTGGGGCACGCGGAATAATGACGCCCCTCGGGGCCTTCCCGATCTTTGCTCGGTCTTACCACCAAACCAGGCGGCGAGTTTGGCTCCGATGGGAGTAGAAGGGGGAGCGAGGGTGGTTTCCAGAAGGGTGGGGCTGCTGAGGGCTGGGGAGGGGCGCTTTGTGTGCCCCCGGCCCGAGTAGAGTAGCGTACAGGCTCTTAGCAACGCTGGGCAGTGTTCCCTGGACTCAAAAGGGAGCGGTTTTGACAGATTCGTGTGTGCGGAGGGTCGCGGCGTCTCTAGTTAGCATACAGATCCGAAGGCTGCTCCTGGGCGATCCCTCTGCCAGCCGAGCAAGTTGAAACCTTCTGTCCAGTTTTGACAAGAACGCTCTTGCTTTTGTCATGCCTTTGCCAAGCCTTTCTCTTAGCTCATCTGAAGGCTGAGTTGGGCAAGACAACGCCTCTGTGCGGGTTGCGGTTGAAATTTGTCTGATGTGTGTGTATCTGTGTGTGTGTTTATTACGAGTGCATTTCTTCTTTTCTGTTTGGAAAAGAGGAGACCCAGTCGTTGTTGAGGACACGTCTTAGGAATTGACGGGGTTCTTGAAGACAGAGTGAGGAGATAATTGCCTATTCTCAACACCAGGGCTGTTCTATCTTGAATACAACCCAGACCTTCTATTTACTCTCTCCATCTCTGGAAATAGGAAATTGTGCCTTTTTCGGTCTGTTTGTTTGCTTTCTTTTTTGGGGGGGGGGGGAGGAATCCTTTCAAAACACATTCGTTGAATATCTACTACAAACCAAATGTTGTCCCAGGTGCAGGAAATACAGTCAGAATGGTACAGACAAAAAGCTCTGTCTTTTTGGAGTCTATGGTGAGACTTAAATCAATCATTGCAGAGGGAAGTGCATAATTACAAGTTTATATGTTGTTCCATGTATTCCAGTATGTTTCATGAAAAAGAGCAACAAGGGTTTGAGAGAGCGTCTGATGGAAGAGACTGACAAGAACCAGGGGAGATGGTGGTCAGGGAAGATAGTCAGACATGTGTATTGAGACCTGCAGGATAGGTAGGGATGGATTGGCTAATGAAGAAGGCAACTTGCAGAAGAAGAAAGAGCAAGTGCAAGGGCCCTGAGGCAGAGGGAACACGTGTATTTGAGGAACTGAAAGCAGGTTTCCATGGCTGGAGCAGAGACCAAGAGAGCATGTGATTTGAGGCGTGGCTGGTAGACTCAGACCCCAAAGTCTGGTGTTGTTGCAGGTAGGGGAGAATTGTGGATTGGGGGTTGGAGAGTAGTTTTTATCTTAAGTCACTGAAGTGTTTCAAGCTGAGAAGTGACATGATCTGCATTAAGTTTTGAAGCAAGTGCTATGTGGCTCCTGTGGGTGTGAGGGACCAGACCCAGTAGTGGAGTGGACCGGGGTGGTGGCTGTGGGGATGGAGCCATGGATGGACTGGGGAGCTCGGGAGGGCACAGGCTTCGTGTGAATCAAGTGTGGAGTGGGGTGGCTGGAATGACTGGGAAGAGCGGGGGCAGGACCAGTCTTGAGGGAAAACTCCTGAGTTCAGCCCAGGACTTGGTGAGTGGGAGACATCCCTGAGTCATTTAGGAGGTGGGTCAAGTGGGCCGTTGTCTAAAATATCAGATCAGGATTTTCAAGGAGCTCTGATAGGGAGGGCTGATTTTGTGAAGCTTGCCATGGCTTTTAAAATGCATTTCTATATAATCATCCTTCTACCTATTTATGTCACAGTGATAAACACAGTTGAATCCCATATTTTACAGCCTGAAACAGTGAAGAAGCAAGCAAGTAGCACCTATGGTCACAACCAACGGTGCTAAAAATGAAAAGACCATAATAAAAGTCACAGCATTCAATGAGCAATCATTGCATGCCAGGTGTTTGATGTACGGAATTTCATAGTTATGCTCACAATAGTTATCTGATGGCACAGTGTTATTGTCCCCACTTGACACTTGATTGCCTTCGGGACACCACGGAGCTGCCTTCTAATAATATACTCTGACTTGGGGCACAGTTGTTCCTGGAGGTGTGGGTGACAGTCGTCTTTCCCAGCCAAAGGGTGAAGGCAGGGGGCGAGTCGGATGTGACGGTGCCATATATCACACCAGTATAGAACTAGTGCACATTTAGTAATGATTAATTAGATTGTTAATTAAATTATTTATTATTATTTAACCAGAAGTTTCATTTATTCAGTCTTCTTTTTTTTAATCATCAAAGGAAGTTGTTGTTGTCAAGTCGCTGTCCTGTCTCTTTTGCGACCCTGTGGACTGTAGCCCTCCAGGCTTCCCTGTCCATGGGATTTCCCAGGCAAGAATACTGGAGCGGGTTGCCATTTCTTTCTTAAGGGGATCTTCCCAACCCAGGGGTCAAATCTGAGTCTCCTGCATTGCAGGTGAATTCTTTACCACTGAGTCACCAGGGAAGCCCACAGAAGCAAGAGATGATCCTAATTTTATAGGTGAGGGAATTGAAAACAGAGAGGTTGAGTAACTTACCAGAGGTCACATAGCTAGTGGGTCAGATTAAAATATGAGCCCCTAAACACTCTTCCTGTCTGTCCCTTATGTTACTGGGACCTCTGTCTCCTACCTGGTGAGGTTCCCAGAGCTCAGGGATTGGAGAAACTTCTTCCAAGGAAGAAGACAAGAAGGTGAGATGGAGGGGGCAGTGGGGAAGGAGGAGGAGGGCAGGGAGGCAGTAAGTCAGTCTTCCTACCTCATCCTTTTCTCCATTAACCCATCTAACCACACATTCTCTCTCCATCCACCCCTGGGGGAGAGGCTTAGTCCCTGGTCACGGGACAGGCATTGGGTCTGTTCTTTGGAAGTTTGGGTTTTAGTTCAGTTCAGTTGCTCAGTTGTGTCTGACTCTTTGTGACCCCATGAATTGCAGCACGCCAGGCTTCCCTGTCCTTCACCATCTCCCGGGGTTCACCCAAACTCATGTCCATCGAGTTGGCGATGCCATCCAACCATCTCATCCTCTGTTGTCCCCTTCTCTTCCCGCCTTCAATCTTTCCCAGCATCAGGGTCTTTTCCAAGGAGTCAGTTCTTCGCATGAGGTGGCCAAAGTATTGGAGTTTCAGCTTCAGCATCAGTCCTTCCAATGAACACCCAGGACTGATCTCCTTTAGGATGGACTGGTTGGATCTCCTTGCAGTCCAAGGGACTCTCAAGAGTCTTCTCCAACACCACAGTTCAAAAGCATCAATTCTTTGGCGCTCAGCTTTCTTTATAGTCCAACTCTCACATCCATACATGACCACTGGAAAAACCATAGCCTTGACTAGATGGACCTTTGTTGGCAAAGTAATGTCTCTGCTTTAATATGCTCTCTAGGGTTTACATAGACTGAACGTGTTTGGCAAGGGGGAGATGAAGGTGAATCTAGTGTTATAACAGAAATAAGGAGGGGCAGTTCCTTAGAATCAGGGTATGAAGGGGACTTCCCTGGTTGCTCAGCTGGTAAAGAGACCGTCCGCAATGCGGGAGACCTGGGTTGGATCCCTGGGTTGGGAAGGAAATGGCAGCCCGCTCGACTATTCTTGCCCGAGACATTCTGTGGACAGAGGGCCCTGTCGGGCTACAGTCCTCGGGTGGCAGGAGCTGGACACGACCGGGCGAGTGAACCGCCACCAGGTGTGAGCAGGCTTGCACCATCAGGTGGCTCTGCTCACAGACTGTGGAAGGAAGCTGTAATTATGTTTTGCTCACAGCCCTGTTACCTGACAACTAAATAGCACAAAATGAAGGTGGTTTGAGAACAGATTGGTTTTGATTGCACTTGGGTGAATTAAGCAAAACACTGTCAAGAGGTTTAGGTGCAGAAATAAGACCTAAGTGTAAAACGATTATGCTCTGGTGAGCTTTTGGCCTTCCTCCGTCTTTGTAAAGCTAAGCCTTTAACACACAGTGACTGCAGAAGGAGATGGGCTCTAAGTCTTGGCTTTCAGAGTAGAATTTAGGTGCATTTAAAATGGTTGGGATCTCTTCTTGAGGATGTTCTTCTGAAAATTGGGATTGACCGGCTGCTTTTGTGTATGCTGTAAGCTTTCTAAAAACCAACAAGATCAGCAAACACTATCCCTACAGCTTGAGGCAAGCATATCATCAGGGTGTGAAGAACGGAGCTGTGGGGCAGAAGAATTCGTTTCTAAAAGAAGCCGTCTCAGTAATTAGCTGTGTGCCTTTGGGCTGCTCACTTAGCCGCTCTGCACTTCACTTCTCGTCCATCCTTCTGCCGGGAGGCCGCTGACATGACCTCTTTGACCCCGTCTCTTCAGCTTTCCCCTTGACCTGACGTTGGCTTCCTCCTGTTCCGCAGGTAGATCAGATGCGTCCCGTCTCAGGACTTTTGCTCTTGCACTGTCCATGGCTTACAGCCGTGTGTTGGCGTGGCTGGTTTCTTTCTGTCCTGTCAGTCTCAGTCCACACGACACCTTGCTCACAGGGATTTCCCTGTCGCATCGAAAGCCCTCGCCTCTTGTTCCCTGAG